GATATTAAAGATGCATTTTCACATTATTTACACTCTTCTCCGACATTACAAGTCCCAGATAGGGAAACTGATGTCAGTCTCATAACTCTTATGAACTTTAAATGACGTAATTAGCTAGAAGGTGAGTTAGCGTTTAATTGTAAACCAAAATTTCATAGATTAACTAAACAATAGAAAGAATAAAGTAAACCGAAAACAAAACCACAAAGAAATAAAAAAAATAAAGCTTGCTGCCTCACACTCCTTTCGAAAACCGGAGTGATTTCATTAATCACTCCTAAATTCCCAATTTTCGTATTCTTACTTTTAACGGCCTCATTACACTGACATTATGAATCCTTTACAGTTTCAGTACAGATACCTTACAAAGAAAAATAATTCATGTTCTTGAATCTTCTCTACTTTCCTGCTCTAGTTCACTTTACAGAAAGTGTTCGAGTTCAAAGACCACTCATGTTAAGTAGAGGACGTTGGATGACTGATCGGTATGTTTCGTCGAAGGATGAGATGTGGACACACCAGAACAAGTCCTTTATTTTGATGGAGGGGGTCGCAATCTCAAAGCCTTCTTCCGCCATTCAAATTTTCTGCAACGGCAGAGGACGATGACCATTTCCTCTGGTGTCCACAGAATTTTCACTAGAGAAAATATTTATTTTAGACACGTAAAATTGTCATGTCATTAACATGATATGTAATTTATATAGAAATGGAGTAACACGAGTGGTAACTTCGAATAGTCCATTCAATATTAGAATAAAATTTACTATATAATTTATATAGAAATGGAATAACGAGTGGTAACTTCGAATAGTCCATTCAATATTAGAATAAAATTTACTACAGAATATAATTGATGTATTAACGATAGCAGTGACTTACCTACTTTTGTCCGAAAGAGACTAATGTGAGTAAGCTTGTCGCTGTAGCTTCCGGTGTTTTTCAACGTTGGATATTGTCTTCTGTATAACATTTATAGATAGGTCTGTTCGTTCATCTACGGTTGCAGGTGATGTTAAGTATTGTTTTCAAAAGTCCTTGTTTGACCCCTTGTAAGCTATCAAATAGCATGCATACAGTTTATGAATGAGCCCATGGCCAGAATTTCCCACTAACACGAAAGAACAATATACCATCAATAACAGTTTAATATTTGTATAAATAATCAGAAAAATGAACGGAAGAAAAACGTGTATAAAACTTAAAACAACACTATCACTATGTCACGTGAGAAAAGTTACCGAAACTCATGATAAAGTCTTTATTCAAAAAATTAAAAAACATTTAAAAAATTGAAACAAATATTTGCAAGTCACCGGTAATGGAAACTGGTGTCAGTCTCGTAACTTTTAGAAACTTTAAATGCCGTAACTGATCAGAATTCGAAGTAGCGTTTAAATGGAAAACAAATGTTACAGGTTAACTAAACGATAGAAAGAATAATAAATGAAGAGAAAACAAAACCATAACGAAATCAAAGTAGAATTTGCTACCTCGTATTCCTTCCCTGTTCGAAAACCGACGTGATCATATTAATCACTGCTTATAAATTACCAGTTTCAGTACCCTTACTATTAATGACCTCATTATACTGACACCATGAATCCTGCCCATCTTAAGTACATATACCTCACAAAGAAAAGGCGTAGTGTTCTCAGATCTTCAGCTTCTCTACCTTCTGCTCAGATTCAGGTTAAGGGAAGTTAAGTCCATAGATCAGCAAAGTTGCTATAATTAATTCGATCAAGAGATTT